TTTTTAACAATTTTTATACAAATTGTTCAATGCTATTGGTTACAATTTTTACATTGTGTCATTATTATTATTACTATCCCCTTTCTGTTTGCTCTGCTTCCATTGATCTAGCTTCCCTTCCCTTCTTTGCCTTCTCACCTTTGCTTTTGGAAAAATGTTGACCACTTGGTCTCATATTTTATATATATATATATATATATATTTTCCCCCCACTGTTCAAGGGAGCACATTACTCAATGGCTCAATTTTTGAGGATGCATTTTTCTTTTATTCTCACTGACTAAGAGATGTTTATATTCTTTTAATGTCAAACTATTACTGATCCTCAAAGTTTTCTCTCTCTTCCTCTTTCCAGACTCTATCTTGCATTTGTAAATCTAAACTCGCTCAAAACCAAACATACTAAAAATTTCCTTTATTTGTTCAGAAATTGATATGTCTCTTTGACTCTCTCACAGCTAGAGTTAAACTTCAATGTCTTCCATTCTTTTCACTTTACCTTCTTCTTTTTTTTCCCCCAAGCAGGTTTCTTCATTTTTACTTGGCATATTAGGCCGGATTGTCTAGAGAAGCAAAACCAGTAAAAGCTTATATATACATATAGAGAAAGAGAAATTTTTCTCAGGATAATGGTTCACACACTTATAGAAGCTGGCAAGTCTCAAGTTCTTGGATCAAACATCAAACTGGAGGCTTTTCCTGACTCATGCAGCTGCAGGGGCTGAGATGCTCAAAGTTGGCAGGCAGTAGACCAGCTGTTGACTCCAATGAATAATAAATCCAAGATCTCTAGGCCAAATGGTGGATTATTCACTCATGGACAGTTGTAGGCAACACAACAGAGTCCTGATCCACAGAAGACTGTCTCTTTTCCCAGGATGTTCATAAATATACTGGAAGCAGGCCACACCCCTAGGGAAACTCCTTTTCAATGGAATGGCTGCTCAAAACATATATATCCGATCCCATCACGGAAATAACCAACACCACAATTGCTTAAAACACACAGAATTGTGGTCCAGCCAAGTTGACACACAGCTCCAACTACCACAGTCCACCCTTTATCAACTTGGCAGTTGTACACATCTTCTTAACCATATATAATCTCTATATAAGGACAATTATAAAGTCATATTTGTGCCTAACATGATATGCTAATATGTGTAAAACCGAAATACATTAACCTTATTTACATTTCACAGTTCATAACAGAAGGAAACAAAAATATTTGATGCACATACACAATAAAGAAATATAACAATCACAGTCCTTATTTCGGCAACTTGTCAGGTGGTTGGAGCTGATATTCAGAACTACCTTCTTCATTTGATTGTGTGGATCATGACACATTATGGATAACATTGAGAAGAATGGGAATTCCTGAACACTTGATTGTACTCATGAGGAACTTGTACATTGACCAGCAGGCTGTCGTTCGAACAGAACAAGGGGACACTGCATGGTTTAAAATCAGGAAGGGAGTGAGTCAGGGTTGTATCCTTTCCCCACACTTAATCAATCTATATGCTGAGCAAATAATCTGAGAAGCTGGACTATATAAAGAAAAACATGGCATCAGGATTGGAAGAAGAATCATTAACAACCTG